TATTTATTTTTCAATATTGAAATTCAAAGTTAATAATCATGATTTACGAACGTTTGAATGTTTTCCAATTTATTTAGAATATTAACAGTCAATTACTTCGAACGATGTGTGAAACAAGGATTAATTTTGTAAAAGTATATAAGTATATATTATTTATATTATTTTATAAAGATTCATATAAATATTTTGTACAAATCTTTAATTCGCGGATTCTATCAAAATTCCCGAATGTGTGAGATGCGCCAACAAGAAATTCGACAATGCAATTTCATCGAAAAGAAATAACTCTATTTAAAATTCTTTTATACGACAATAATAGCATGCACGCATGCACACACACAACATGCAAGCACACGCTTTTTGATTCTCGGCACAATATAAAACACGACCAGAAGGAATGTAAGAGAACACGTTGCGAACGAACGTTGACAAAAGTATTTAAAAATATAATCATGATTCTCTTTCGACTCGAGTCGATGTCAATTGTTTCGATGTAATGTTAATAAAGTATGACGTCATGGTTGTAAGGATGGAGAATAATGCAAAATAAAAATGTACTCAAAAACACGCGTACCTTGCTCAAATCTAAAGGATTATCACTCAAGTGTACTACAGCACCAGGATGGGTCTTTCTAAATCTGAAAAATATATATACATATATAATAATCTGAGTGTGTGTGTGTATGTGTGTAGAGCCTCGGTGTCGATGAGTGGTTATATATGTGTGTGTGTTTATCGTGTGCGTCTGTTCAATGTTTATATGTATCGGTATATCTAAACAGATATGTTCATAATTATTACTTTAAATAACATAGTTCCGCCGTGACACAGTTTCATTTTAAACATTTGCACACTCCTCGTTTAAACAGTTCGCTTCGACAGATTTCTTCTGCGCTTTGCGCAGCTTCTGTTTCACCCGTTTCGTATTAGTATCGACAGATACATCGATAATGAGTGATACATCATGAAAAGAGGCATGTCTATATTTAAACATGTATTTTAAGGTATAACAATACTTTTCCTCAATACATGGCTGCCTAAAAGTTAATTACCTGTTCCGAACATTCGAAACTTTTATAGCCAATAATAGGTACGGAGTTCTGTTTAAATTGTTTTCCACGAATCTTTTTGTAAATGTTTATAGTGCCAAAAAATATTTCAGAGAAAAATTTAATTGTTTTGAGGAAAATTTTGTTAATTCTGCAGAGTTACTTCTGAGTGCAAATTTGAGAGATTAACTTTTAGGACAGTCTGCATGAAACTATGTATCTAAAAAAAATTATTTTGAGAATCCTATAATATAAATATATAGATATTATATTTTATCATACCTAGACAATAATATTACTTTGTGAAAGAATAAGCAATATATAATTCATATTAAACAAGAGATTTAGGTTGTAATACCGAAGGAAAATAAAATACACTGATGAAATACGCAACAGTCTACATATAACTGATTATATAAAATATGATAGTTATAAAACACGACATTGCCGCATTCGTTTCTCGATTTATCGTAACAGTAAATATAAATCCTGGGGCTCCGTTTTAAATTTTAATAAATCCCATTTTATCAAAAATATTTGCACACCATAAATAACATTCGACCTTTTGATTAAAATTCAAATGAATCTTCACGAATTACCGAGATAAAATATTAAAGTTTATTATATTTAAATATTTAACAGCAATATATGATTTTCGAGTTTATAAACGATATTAAAAAAGAATATTAAAAGAGTAGTAAAGTTCATATTAATTTACGTTCATAAATGCTTTATTTCAGAGTTGTTATTCACCGATAAAAGTTTCTGGGCATCATAAAATCAACTGTGAATAATTAATTTGATAATATAAGTTTCTACAAACATGAAATTCGTAATTTATTATTTTCTAAACTTCTTAAGTGAAAATTCGTGTTCTGATTCATAAACCTTTAAAAGCAACTCCTCAGCAAAACATTTTTATAATAACGTTTACTTTGAAAATATGAATCCCCTTTTGACAAACTTAACCCTCTTATTGCATTTTATAAATTGACTGCAGCCTTTTTAGTCACCTAACACAAATAATAAATTTGTATCATCAATTTTAATTAACCTACTTTTTCCGAGTTTAAAGCAGAAATATAGGAGTCTCACTTGGGTTAAATTTACAACGTATATATATATTGATTCATCGTTAAATATGTACTGAATTAAAAGTGCGGCTTTAATTAAAGCACAATGCTTATCCATAATTGCTAACAAAGTATTGAATTTTCTAATTTTAGATTCTATCATTCAATATTTTTCGAAGATATCCAGTAACTGTAATTTCTTTAAATTTAATTATTTTCCAGTCTTTATACATAGAAACATATGAAAAGTTCTGTTTTCCGTGTACAATAATTAATCAACTATAGTATACAATAATGCTTCAAAAATCATTCGACCACCTGAGACTAACAGCGAACGACTTTTGTGTCGTAGACATTTTTCCAATCGAATAAGGAACTTATGTTATCGAAAAAGAAAGTTTCAATTTCCGTTTACCGTTCGGCGAGCGCAAAGAACGAAATTGGCTAACAAAAATTTTCGATGTTGTTCATAGAAAAGACACATATTTCAGATCGAGCTTTCTTTTGAACATACTCATTGTTTGCAATTCTTGTATAAACTCCGGCAACGGACCTGTATTTCTTCTTCAAACTGGCGACGACAGCTGCGAGTGAAGGTTTTGAAATACCTCTAGATTGTTTTTATTGAATTTCTGGTTTCAATTTGGGAACAGAAAATAGTAACGGAGAACTAAACGAGGTAAACGTAGTGTGCAACGAAGCAGCGCAACATGCTTAGAAGTCAGAAAGTTGCACGAGCTGACAACTATAGTACAGTGAAATCAAAGATATATACATTGTACCTGTCATCTTCATAAAAGAGCAACTGAGACATTTGAAAAGTGCATATAACTGTTATATATTTTCTATTAAGAAAATGAATTATATAAAAATCATAAATATTTTATGAAAAATTATTGTTTCAATTTCAGTTTAGAAAATGTTTAAATTGTTTCCCTTAAATATCTTGAAAATTACAGCAAAAATAGTCTCTATGAAATGTTAAATAATTTTATAAAATATAAAAGATTGATTTTGAAATGTCGATAGTTTCAAAATAAAGAAGAAATATCGATATGGCTACACTAGTATTTTTATTATAGGTTAAACATCCGCAGAATTTTATAATATTTCAGTTCAATATTTTTTTTCTGTGAATGTCCGCTTTAATATAATAAAAACTCCAGCACTGAAGAATTTAATTAGCATTTTCAGTTCTCTCCATAGCAAAATTATTGACGCTAATTACTGAATTATTATTACTGAATATTCAAATAGAATGTTGCATAGAATTTTTCGTCTCGCAATATGAATAGAAGATGCTTCTGAAGGTTCTATTTTAGGATCACATTATACCTATGCGTCTCTTTCAACAGCAGTGCTTCAATTGAATGTCAAACTATACATGTATACCGTCCGAGGTAAACAATGTAGTAAGATAGTAAACCTGGCTTGCAATGCAATTCCTTTTTTAATTAATTTCACCTGCCAACTAATTCTGAAAATTCTATAAACGCTGAACGTTGCTAAAGATACTATCTTTTCCTACAAAAAATAGTATCTTTTGAACTTTGGGATTTACTTATTTATTACACATTTATAATACCCAACAATAACAAAAAATAATAATTTCTAATATTTACCTTATACATTTATCAAGTACAAAAACGTTCAAATAAAAATTTTAAACAATTATACAAGAATATATGATTGCAATATATGTAATGTTGCAAGAAAAGTAATTTTAGTAATAGAATCTTGAATCGAAATTAACATTAGCTGGCAAATTACGAAAGAAAGTCATATAACTATATGTTATAATCTTATGCGTTGAATACTGCTGTCGCTTTCAACCCTTTCAAACGTTTCAGGTACTTCGCATAGTCCTTCTCTTTTATCTAATGGCCGACAGAAAGTGATGAAGGTAAACGCCTACAAAGAACCCGGCAACATTGCCTATACATGACATAGATCCTCAAGGTCTCTCATTTTGTACTCCAACATCAAAGCTTCCGACAGAATTTTCTCCTCGATAAGAATGTGCTCTTTAGTACAAATTCTTGTACCCGACTGACTCAGAATCAACATGTTCTTTCGGAACACAGGAAAAACAGAAGAAAAGACTTTCTCTATAAGAGAGTTTCAAGAAACCTGCGAAAAATTTTAAGTTTTCCATAATATAATGACCCAACTTTCGTCGGGTACTACAAAAAATTGTCAATTTAGACTCATCAAGTGCTCCCCTCCACGGAAATCTTTAGTAAAAGGCGAAAGATTTATGCGTGATTTGAAGGGAAGCCAGAGTAACGAAACACATTCGTCGACGTCCATATATCACCCTAGGCTTACACTTTGAGTAGCGAGAAAATCTGCCATCTAGTGGAGATTTTGTAAACCAATACCAGCAGGAATGGCACTACCTTATGACCGATTTCCGCCCCTTTGCATGGAGCGAGACTAGATGCAGAAATGTTAATTCATTAATTTATTGCATTATGTTTTTCTTTTTTACAATTATTGATATCTTTGATAAATATAAAAATATTGTAACTTAATTAGTTTTAAAAACATAATCAAACCTCATGTGCCAAGTTTTACAAAATGAAGAGAGATAGTTGAACATTGAAAATAATGTTTCGTATTTGTTTATAAAAACATTCATATAAATCATCGAGTTGTTAATGACCCTTACCTTTTATTCATTTACAGAATGTAAAACAATTATCAAATTTGTGTTTGGAATTCTTTCGAACCTTCTTCAGAACATAGCTATAATCTGACCTAGTTGCTAAAATCACCTTGTATAAAACAGCCACGTATAATTAGAGACGTTGTCTTGTTCCGCGGAGCAACACGAAACCACGAATTAAAGCAATGATTTAAAAATTACAAAGCTTCGGATGGCTGACATTTAAAACTTTAATCACATGAAAATATTCGCATATGAAACTCGATTTTCTTCGGATTTTTCGTGGTTGTGCATTCACGTGAAGGATTCCAATTTCCGGATTTATTTTTTACACCAGTTAACCGAGAAAATTGGAAGGGGGATAGGAAGTGCATATTTCGCGAAATACAACGGTGGTTGTAACTCCTGATGAAAAAATATATCGGCATGCAATTTCGGTGGAAAAGTCATAAAGAAAGATTCGAGTTTTCTGCCAATACATAGTTCTGAATAATTCCTTTTCCATTAAACTTTTACTGCTGTATCATATCAGAAAATATAACAGTACTTTGCGAATTAAATTAGATCAAAGTTAATGATCGATTAAAGAAAAAGATTCTACAAATCTCAATCGCAACTGTCGACAGTAAATTCCTTTATGTTTAAATGATTCGCGTATTTGTATTTATATTTTCTAACTTTAACTTTATTACCAATAAATGTAAATCGAATCGAGAACACGACGTTGGAAGCTGATTTTATGACCCTCTAAATGGTATACGTGAAATGTTCGGGACATCTCTCGTTTTGGATCAAGTGTTTGAACTATGTACGTACTCTCAAACATGGCACAGTGTTCCAACAGATTAGGAGTGTACTATGTAACGCCAATATAAGCTATTACAGCCAATTTCGTAGCTCGTAGAGATTGGAACGGTTCTTTCGACCATGCATTAAAAATGTCTGATAAAAGAATAACTTCACAAATAATGCAATGCTATCATTTCAGTGAAAGAAAATAGTGTACATTATTTGTAATGGAATATCTAACACAGTCGCGAATAAATGGCATTGATTTAATAAACCAATTAATTAATTTCCTCTAATAAAGGTATTTCGATTGAAAATGAAATAGTGTAAGTATTATTTTATCATACAATTTACATTCATGTAACCTAAGAATACGTGAAATTCACAGATTAATCAAGGCTTATCTCGAATGTTTCAACGGTAATGTGGGTGTATTTGGAAGTAAATGTAACGCACTGTAGCCAGGATTTATGGAAATTCCGAAATCTGTATAAACGTAGACACAGAATCCCGGAACGCTACTCAGTCTAAAATAAAAAGGAAATTAGAATCTTTGTTTTAGTCTAGCAACATCGTAATATTGGTGTTAGTTGGCCGTATGCTTTATGCCAGAAAGTTTACGGCGTCATTATGCGGGTCAGCACTGTTTATAAAATGGCACTTTCTTAATCTCAACATTCTGCTCTCCTGAACCGGGAAATTCCCGTAAAATATGAATAAAATTCGTTCATTACTTCGCCGTTCATTACTTTAACTCGCGCGAAATCTTTCGAAATTTTTGAAGCAGTATTGTACACAGCCATCATTTTCTCTTTCATAACACATCGTATCCATAAAACGTTCGATCAACGAAAGTACTCGCATACTTACACTTCGATAGCTTTGTTCCAATTAATTACGTATCCGGAAAGAACGAACGTCTCAATATGAAGCACATGGATGTTTCCTCGTTCCGTTCCAACGTACAGCCATTTACTTTGCAATGGCAGATGGATACAGGTTATTCTATAAAACAGAGAAGTGCTATGGTTCTACGATTTCGTTACATTTTATTTGACAAAAGTGAATAATTTCTTTAGCGATGACAGCGTTAAGATGTTCATAGCAAATGATATTTCCTTTATTACTTCATTAAATTGGAATTATTTATAATTAACAAATAGTTGAGAAATAAACAGTGTCTTGAAATTTATGTACAAATTTATGTGAAATTTATGTGAAATAAATATGTAATATAAAGTAAATATTATAGAAAGTATGAAATAATAAAGACTGACCTCTCTCTCTGAAATTTGAGACTCTGTACGACCTGTGGGATCTTCTGCCGGAAATTCCATAGATGCAAGGTGTCATCTGCTGTAGCGGACACCAAAGCTCCCTCGTTCACTAAAAACTGTAATTGTATCACAGCTGAACATCCCTCGTGTTTTACATGCGCATCTACACCCGGCCGACCTAAACTGTTTTCGTCAGGATTTTAGTTAAGGATAATATGAACACAAACTACATAAACAATGCCATCGCATTGTTATCTTCGTTTAATCATTTTTTTACAGAGTGCCGTTTAAACACGGATGAAAACTGCTGCTACGAATTTATTGATTTTTATTATAACATGAGTATATAGCTTACATGTATACTTCAATTAATTGAAACGCAATAACTTAATTGGAACAGATAAAAATATTCTGCTGTGTAACAAAATTGCTTCAGAGACAATTAAAAAATTTTAATTGAATTTTTTTTTAATTTATCACCTGCTTCAATCCATTTTAAACAATTTTTTAATTAGTTTACTACCGAAAAAACAATTACTCATAAAATTGGGGAACAGATTCAACTTTTCATGCAAATGTTGATTGCCATCGACAACTTTTACACTGATAATTGGATGAATTTAAATAAACAAACATTTTTAAAATAATAATAAACTATGTTTTAGTTTACAGACTGTGAAATCCACATGAAATTGTTGAATTATTTATGACCATCATTTTCAAGGTATTAAAGGAGCAGTTTTTACTGTAACCACCGTTCGATACAGCAATTAATTATCTATGGAATAGAGACAAATTAGACTAGCGTAAAATGTTTTCAGAAGACCACAACGTGCAGCACGTGCACCGCGGCGACCGCCAATATTTCAAGACTTCAAAGAAGCCAAGAAAAGCTTGTCAGAATTAAAAAACAGAAAATAAGTTCTTCAAACAGCGTAAGAGCCTCTATAATCCTGGATTAATCGTATGGAAAAAAATTCAGTACACGCGACAGAAAAAAGAACATAAGCGTACCACCACCGTTCTTCTTAAAAGTAACGGCTTTAATCTTGTCGTTCTTAAAAACTTTGATAACAGCAAATTCAACATGGATTAATAAGGCTTTTCATATTTTTCGTTTAATGTAACTTCCAACACACAAAATTAATTTGTCTGTGATTTCAGTTTTTCGTTGAACAGTTCATGAAATTTCGAAATTGCATACACGTTGGCGATGCAGTTACGACTAAAGTTTAATGAACACTCGCACATAACGAATCGAGTGAAGTTCACTTTACTGGGTAACAACTGATCAGACAATCAAAATATTTTGAACTGTTCGAATGTTTGAAGTTGAGCGTTGTACCATGGGTAAAGAGGAATTAACAAAGTTAACCAACTTCCTTTCGGCAAAATAAATTTTGTGCACCGGAATGATTTGTTGAAAATTAGGTTGGACAAATGTATTAAAATTACCTATTAATAATTCATTTATTAAATGTATCAATTATGTTAATTTTTTAGACATCCGCGGTAATTCTAGAAATATATACTGAGAAATGTTTGTTTAACCATTTTATGTAGATTTATAAAGTTTAAAAATTACTTTGTTATTAACATATTGTGCAATCTTTAAATGAAATTTTCTGAATTAAAATTCTGCTTGTATTCTTCGATAAGTTGCAATAAAGGAAACTAGGTAGGTCAACTGAAAACCGAGATAACATTCTAAAAAACCCAACGTCGGTCTTGGTCGTCAGTGCAACCAATCTAACGCCGCGTTATCACGCGTGAGTTTAACATTTTCCTGGGAACCTTCTGTTCTGACAGTAAATAGTTTTGTAAAATATTTTCGTAATCCAAAAAATGAACAACAAAAACCAGAGACATAGTATTTTCCAATAACTATAAATTGGTT